CCTACGACCACTGGGCATCAGAGTGGCACACAAGCCCACATCAACCTTACGACAACTGTTCACCCGAACTAAAGACTCACTCCCCGCCGTGGACAAGACCAATGTCATCTATAAGATCCCTGCAGAGACTGCGAGAAACACTACATCGGACAAATAGGAAGGAAATTAACAACAAGGGTACACGAACGCCAACTGGCTACAAAAAGACACGACCAATACTCACTCATCTCTATCCACATGGATAAGGAGAACCACCAATTCGACTGGGACAACACCAAAATCCTGGGACAAGCTAAGCAGAGACAGGCACGGGAATTCCTAGAAGCCTGGTACTCCATGAAGAAAGCCATTAATAAACACATAGAACTCGACCCCATATACACTCCACTATAAGGAAAACCGGAATTGAGGCAATCCAGCTCAATGGACTCCAGAGTTTAAAAACCAGGCGGGAAAACACACTGACGCTTCATCGGAGGTTGCACTGATGATGTTACCCTGCAGGGTAATGAAACATCTGCGGAACAACAAACCAGCTCGGCGAGCCAACCAACCTCAAAACTTTAGATGCTTTATCCTGCAAAACACGTTCTGTGCATTGTAGTTCTGCTTTAATGATTTCAATATGCAATGGTTATTGTTATGAAAACAAGCAAAAAAAAGTGTTTCCAAAGTAGCTCAGTCAATTCTGTTTAAGATAATAGCAAGACAAATGCATGATTTGCAGGCTCCCCTACTTATTGTTGGGGTGATGTGGCAAAGTGGTGGTATCACTGGTCCTGTAATTAATAGTGCCACATTATCAAGAGGGTCATGTGTCACAATGGTGGTTGGCTTAAGAGATCCTGGAAAAAGTCCCATCTGTTTCAGATGTGTCATAACTTGTTTGAAAAAGACCCTATTTATTTTAACAGGTTTTATTTAATATCCCTGGCTATTAGAAAATGTTAAAAAGGCATTACAGATAGAGTACAAGCTACAGGAGGAGAATGCAGGTTAATGTTTTTTGTTTGTACATCAGATATAGTTACCAATGCTCTAACATTGCTTAGAAGCCTCCAGAATATGAAGACTAATCTCCCAAGAACTGTCGCAGGAGATTCAAAAATAACATTTGAGCATTTAGGTTATTAGTGATAAAAAAATTTCAGACATGAGAAAAGAAGATGGAAATAATCTAATCAGATTACTATGAATCTACTCACTTTCTTCTAAGTGAGAAAAGGGAGAATGCCAGACGTAAGAAGTGTTGAGCAATCACTGGTGGCATTGTGGAGAGAGCTGCTTGGAACCAGGAAGTCATTTGATGACGGATACATGGGAGTTCCTCTCCAAGCCACACACCATCAGGACATGGATCTATTTAACGGTCTCATTATTCCCAGATCAAAATCCCAGAAATCCCTTCCTGATAGCACTTTGCATGTCCATACACCAAAGGACTTCATGAAGGTAGTTCATCATCAACTTCTCCAGGACAGTTAGGGATGGGCAATAAATTTTGGCCCAAACAATGATAACCCAAATCCCATGAACAAATAAAATAAATTTCTCCAAGAATATATCAAGTTGGCAACATTGGTGTGAGATTTTTAACTAGAACTTACCTCTAAAGATTTGTCTTCATTCAATAATGGGAGGTGGGCATTGTTGACATTAACAGCATTCATCATTTATCTTTAATTGCCGTTGAAAAGCTTCATTATTGAACTGTTGAAGACCCACGTAGAGTAGGAACCTTCACACTGTCTGATCATGTAGTGTAGGTACACACACATTATCTGATCATATAGTCTAGATAAACCCACAGTGTCCGATCATGTAGTGTTCTTAAACCCACAGTATCTGATCATATAGTGTAGATACACCCACAGTGTCTGATCATGTACTGTAGGTACACCCACAGTGTCAGGCCAAATAAGTGGCAGATTTTCTTCCCTCATGAGCATTAATGAATGTTTTATTGTTAGTTTCAGCATATGATACGCCCACTCATGAAGCTGCTAAACAAGAGAAGTTGTTTGTTTGAAATAGTTGAATCAACACGCTCTTAATTCAAATACAAGATTCCAGCATTTACCTTAGCTGTCCTGTGGTTCGTGGACACAAGCTATGCTAATCAGGTTCTACATATTACATGCACTCCATCTTGGGATTGTTAATGGTGTGTGTGCTAAGAGATGTCAGTTCACACATTAACAGGGTATAATCTGAGCAGGATTTACAGGACCCAATGAGGTAATACTGAAGCTCATACAACTGCTTTTATTTTTATATCTGTCACCCTTCCAGGAGAAGTTACTTTTGGCTGGAAAATCAGAATTACAGTAAGGATAGAAAATGCATTGACTGGAGTGCCAAAAATCAACATTTTCTGGGAAAGCCCCAGTTCCCCCTGAGAAAATAAATCTCTTGTCTTTAGTTTTCACATCTCACTTCAGTAAGTTCTGTATCCAAGAACTCTGCATACTGCCTTTTGATGTACTTCAAACCATTTTTTCCTTTGCAATTGCAACACCAGCAAGACCTGCAGTTCAACTATCTATAGCTGTATTTACACCATATAGAGATGCCATTTGGCCCATTGTGCCTGTGCTGGCTCTTTTCTATCTAATGAATTCTTGTGTCCTGTCCTCTCACCACAGTGTTGTACTTCTCGCTTCAAATACTTCTCCAATTTTCCCTGGGAAGATGTTATAATCTCAGTCTGTTACTACCAATAGTGGTGACCATGACAGCTGTCTATCGGTCATTATAAAAACCCACCTGGTTCACTAACGTCCTTTAGGGAAGGAATTCTGCCATCCTTACTTGGTCTGGCCTACATGCAACTCCAGATACACTACACTGTGATTGACTCTGAACTGCCATCTGAAATGGCCTAGTAAGTTACGCAATTCAAGGGCAGTTAGGGATGGGAAATAAATGATGATCTAGCCACTGACACACTCAATTGATTTGTTATCACCAATCCCCAAAGCAAGGTTCCCCAATTTATCACTGTTCCAGGCAGGATACCTCAAATAATGAAGTTCCCAGGTACAGAGAGTGAACGTACTTTGCTTGGTTATTCACCCACTCCCTTGGTTGATTTCAACAGAGTTAATTTAAAAAGGGATCCCTTCTTCTGTGCATACCTTCCTTCTCGACCCAAATGAGCTTATGTTTTAAAAGGAGCCAATTTAACGAGGCTTGCTTGAATTAACAAACAGAGTGAACTTATTAATTACTGAACATAAGGAATTGTAATACAACACAAAGGTTAGAAACAAAAGGCAGGTCCAAAAGGAAAAAATGGTTAAATAAAGGTTTACAAATCAGTCTCTGAATTGTTTGTGAAGAGCAGATAGTTAAATGTTGTGGCTGTTGCAGTGTATAGTACAAATAATATTGACATTTGAGCAACCAATTTTGAGATTTTTCACCATATAGGATAATTGAAATTCTTTTGTCCTGATTTCTTTTGACTGTGGCTGACTGGCAGCACTGATTGAGTACAATCATTTCTTTACCTACGGTGCAGGGGTGTTTAAATGGCTATTCTCAAACCTGTGACCCTCATGACACATAGTCAACAGACAAGTGCAACAGGACACTGACGTTCACAGGCTGGAGTTGAAATTTGCTTTTAACCTTTGTCTGTGTGTATTCTTGAAAAGATTGGGGGGAGGTGGGATAGGGTAAAGCTTTAACACAAGTATGTCCCTCATATTGACTGATGTTTCTTTCAGTCGTCATGTTCACAGTCCGAGATACTCCCAGGAGATTATATGTTCAATATGAAGCACATTTCCTCTATTGGAAGCTTCTTTAACATCTCCTCAGGTATGACATTCCACAATCTCTCACTCTCCAGGCAGCCAATGAATTTACACCTGCAAAAAAAGAATTTGCTGGAAAAGCTCAGCAGATCTGGCAGCATCTGTGGAGAGAAATCAGAGTTCACGTTTCAGGTCAAGTGACTCTTCCTCAGTTCTGAGTTCTGCAGTTATCTTTTAGCTATTTGTCCTTTAATAAAGAAACCACATGTTGTAATTAAAGTTTGATAGGTTCAGTGTTATGAGTCATGGTTATGACACATGAAATCATAAAGACGTTTCTAGTATTCCATGCTCCAACACCTCCAAAGCACCCCCCCTCCCATACCGTAATGCAAACCTGTGTCCCACTACACTCTAAAGCAAATTTGTTTTTTCATGTGAGGTCAATGATTAGGGCTGTTGTTTTGACAATGTTAGGTGTGCGTGGTCTGTGTCACGTCATTGTCGAAGGTTTCAAACAGCATTTGCCATGATTTCAAGGTTTCCCTGTTTCTATAACCTTCTCCATCCCTACACTTTCTGAGTACTCTGAAATCTCACAATGCTGGTGTTTTCATAGAATCATAGAATGCCTACAATGTGGACCATTCAGCCCGTCAAGTGCACACAGAACCTGCGAAGAGCATCCCACCCAGACCCACCTTATCGCTGTAACCCTGCATTTCCTATGGCTAATCCACCTAGCCTGGACACGATGGACAATTTAGCATGGCCAATCCACCTAACCTGCACGTTTTTAGATTGTAGGAGGAAACCAGATCACCCAGAGGAAAACCACAGGCACGGGAAGAATGTCTGCATGGAGTTTGAACAGTCACCCGACGGTGGAATCGAACATGGGTCCCTGAGGCTGTGAGGCAGCAGTGCCATCCACTGCCATCATGACGCCCTAAGTCTTGATGACATATTTTACTACAAAACACGTATATGCAGAATGCTCAAAATGCCACTGTATCCAACAGATAGATCATGTCACAAATCATTCAACCTACCTTCATGCACCCACCGTCCCTTATAACAGATATACAGAAATCAGAGGGGCTCTGCAAAGTAATGCAAAATTTACTTGATTGTACACCTTGATCTGAAACAGTTAATGCTTAAGACAAATGTAGGCAGCTATATTATTTTATTCAGCCATACCTAGCCAGTGACACCCACTGAAGACTCACTGCATCAAGATGTAGGAGAGTCGAGTGACAATTAGAGGAAATATAGGAACAAAGCTGTCAAATTCTCTCCCATTTTCTTGCATGTTGTTGGAGAATCTGCAACAACTAACTGTGAAGCTGCAGCTCTCAGGTACCACGCACGAGAGGAAACCGGAGCACCCGGAGGAAACTCACACAGGCACCGGGAGAAAGTGCAAACTCCACACAGACCGTCACCCGAAGGTGGGATTGAACACAAGTCCCTGGTACTTTGAGGCAGCAGTGCTAACCAGTAAGCCACCATGCCAGCCCGTGTTTGGCCGTACATTCTTTCCTGTGCAATCTCGATTTCTTCATAGCCCACCATTATATTTGTGCTGTAACATGTAGTGTCTCTTAGCTCTAGGATTCCCTCCCGAAACACTTTCACTTCATTACTCCTTTAAGACACTTCTTATAACTTATACTTTCACCTATAGTAATATTTCCTTGTGTGGCCTGGTGTTAAGTGATATTTAGTAACACTCCCATGAATCTCTCTGCATGTTTTATATAACCTTATGTTCAAGAATCTATATAAATGAAAGATGATGTTGCTTCTTCTACTGACAGCATCATGACCAATGCTATGATAATTATGGGCTTTTAAACCAAAAACAGTAAATTCTGATGCATAAGACATTAAGAATTGTACACCAATTAAAACACAGCTCAGTAAAACATGTTACGTGATATTATAAGGTGTTGTACTGCATTTGTGATTTTATCCTGATTTTACAGAATGACATTATTGGCAATGGCCAAGTGAAAAATATTAAGGAAATGAAGTTCAATTCAGATTGGTAATTCTTCATTGTTCTCCTAAAGTCTCCAGGAATTAAAAATCTCCAGGACACTTCTGTAAGAGAATTATTAGAGAAAAGTCATAGGGCTATTAAAAATATATTTCTTTAATTTCGTTGTGTGACATCAATAACTTGTACTTATAAAGCACTCGAACATAATAAAGCATCCAAAATGAAATCTGACACTGAGCAACATAAGAACCTATTCAGGTCATTCACCAGAATCTCAATCAAAGATGAAGGTTTTATGGAGCATCTTAAGGCAGGACGGTGAGATAAAAACGTTTAGGAAGGGGTTTGCAGAGTTAAGACTTTGGCAGTAAAGGCCCGACCACCAATGAAGGAACAATTCAGATTGGGAAACCATAAGAGACCAGAATTATAGAAATGTAGATATCACAGAGGACCGTGCACCTGAAGGAGTGAAGCCACAGGGGATTTGGAAACAAGGATGAGAATTTCAAAATCAAGACCTTGCTTGACTGTCAGTTAGTGTAAGTCAGTGAGTACAGTGGAAGCAAGTAAAGAGAGAGCAGCAAATTATGGATGGACTCAAATTTACTGAGGATATGGAAGGCCAGGCAAATGTGTAACTCAACATTCAAGTCCCTAGCTTTCAATGGCATGAATGGGGAATGTAAGCAGAGAAAGGAATGAAGTCAGGAGATATCACTGAGAAGGAAATGTGTGGGTGTGGCTCCAAAGTGAGTGCTGATCTCTGACATGCACATGCATGCATGTCTTCATGTGTTGTGGGATGGTGGCAGGGTGGTGTAGTAGGGCTTGGGAGTATAGTTATGGAGGTGCCCAAATCCCAGTGTTATAGGAAGTGGGGGAGAGGGAGCGTGGGATCATGGTTCTGATCCAACAGTTCTTTGTATAGAAACAAAAACAAAAATTGCTGGTAAAGCTCAGCAGGTCTGGCAGCATCTGTGAAGGGAAATCAGAGTTAACGTTTCTGGTCAGGTGACCCTTCTTCAGAACTGATGGTAACTAGGAACAAGGTGTTTTTCATACAGAAGATATGGCGGGGAGAGGTGGTAAGGAGTAGAGGATAGGGTAGAGATAGAACTCTGTTGTGGAGTAGTGGTAGTGTCCCTACCCCTGGACTGAGAGACCTGGGTTGTAGACCCATATGCACCAGAGGTGTGTAATCACATCTCTGAACAGATTGACTATCTGTTGATTAAAATTCAAAAGTAAATGTTGGTCTGTCTTGTTGTTTAAAGGAACATTTTTTTAATAGCCTCTCACATTTCTTGAATAATTCTTTTGCAGAAGTGTCCTGGAGACTTTAGGAAAACAATGAAGAATTAGCAACTTTGATTGAATCAGGAATTTGCAGTAGGAGTTCTTCATTTCCTTAACCCTTCTCACTTAGGCAATGCCAATAATGTCATTTTGTGAAATCAGCATGTTATACTGCCTTCTGGAAAATCAGGATCAAATCACAAATAGAGTACAACACCTTGTCATATGGTGTAACACATTTTACTGAGCTGTGTTTTAATAGGTGTACAATTCTTGATGTCTTATGCATCAGAATTTATTGTTTTTGGTTTAAAAGCACATAAATACCAAAGAATTAATCATGATGCTGTCAATAAAGAAGCAACATCATCTTTCATTCGTATAACTCCTTGAACATAGGGTTATGTAAAACATGCAGAGGAATTTATAGGAGTGTTACTAAATGGACTAAGTAAATGTTGGGCTCTCCTGTGGCACATTGGTAGTGTCTCTAAAGCTGGACTGGGAGACCCGCATCTGCTCCAGAGGTGTTTAATAACATCTCTGAACAGGTTGATTTAAAAAAAGGTTAAAAAATACATAGTTTGGTGGCCCCTTTTTAGAGACTCTTGTGGTGCAGTGGCAGTGTTCCTAGCCTTGGACCAAAAGACCCTGGTTCAAGACCCACCTGCTCCAGAAGTGTGTCATTACATCTCTGAACATCTAGAAAAATAGATTAACACAGTCACTAGTCATCAATCAGAAAATAGACAAACACATAAACATCAGGGGGCCCCCTTGTGGCACAGAAGCAGCGCCCCCTACACCTGGACTGGGAGCCCAGGCTTCAAGTCCCACCTGCTCCAGAGGTGTGTAATAATGTTTCTGAACAGGTCAACTAGAAAAATGGGTGAAATAAAATATGGTGAGGGAACTTGTGTTGCAGTGATAGTGTCCTTACCTTGAGCTAGGAGCCCTGGGTTCAATTCTCATCTGTTCCAGAGGCATATAATAACATTCCCCAACAGGTTGATTACAAAATATCTAACAAACAATCTGTGTTATGAAATCAGTCTCAGCAACGGTATCCATGATAACTATGATCAATTGTTGTAAAAACCTGTCTGCTTCATTAATGAACTCCGTGGATAGGATTCAGCTATTGTTAGCCTGTCTGGCCTTAATGTGACTCCAGATCCACAGTGATGGGTTGACTCTTGTCTGCCTGAGAATTGATCTCACAAGCCACTCCATTCAAGGACAATTAGAGATGAACAACAGAAGCAAGCCCTGCCAGCAATGCTCAACATCTCATAAAGGCTTTTGTTTTCAGAATTGACAAGTTGCATTCTTTAAGCAGGATGGCTCCCCACCCCTTTGTCCTGCCTCCATATTTCCCGGATTCTTTGGGAGGAGATCGGAGTTGAGTTTCGAAACTACAGTGTCAGCATCCGATCTGTTTTTGGCTGGTATAATTTCCCGAAAAGGAAATTTCAGACCGCTCTCTGCTTCACGTTGGAAGGTGAGGCATTGCGATGATGATCATGTGGGGCAAACAATGGTGGGAGTATGGCGTGGGCTGATTGTAGAAAGATGGTCAAATGACCTAACCTCATGAAATGCATTCAACCAGAGCTGAGAAATCTGAAAGTATGGATGTGAAGGCATCAAAAATGCCCTGAATCTTCCAAAGTCCTAGAGGTGGTCATTGTTGGATCCATTCCTTCTCATCACAAAACTTTGAATAATCCTTTATTGATGGATGGTACGGAATCTACTGGGGTAGTGCAGCCAGAAACTTGAACCTTAGTGATGTAATTGCACAACTGGATATGTTAAAGCAATTTGACATCAGATTATTGATCCTAAAAATAGCGATTGAAGTGAAACCAAAGGCTGAAGTACAGTGCAAAGGCATGTATTGCTTGCATTCACATTAATGCACCAAGGAATCACAGTCACACTAGTACAGCAATGCTATTCACTTGCCTTCAGTATTACTTGCCAGCTTCCCTCTAAAGTGGGAAATACGATTCTCTCGGAGCTAAGGATGTTGCTGAAGTGCAGGAAGACCAGAATTGCAGCGTTTTACAAATTTTAAATCCCGTCCAGACTTGTACTATTCAACCGTCTGCACCGTTCAGAGATTTTATAAAGAACTCCAAATAGCAGCAACAATCCATTTAAGGGCTCTGGTGTATCTGGTATTGAATACAAACACTCCCCCAGCTGTTCGAGACAGAATTTGCCAAAGGGAAAGTGCAAAATCTCTTTCGATTCATCAAGGTCCTGCCCAGATGATGGTCTCAGCCTCAGTTGTTTGTTGGTCAGTGCTCCAAGGTTCTCCTGAGGTCACCAGGGAGTGGACGCCAATGTCCAGGGAACTGCTGCTAGCAATCCTGGAGAAAATGCATCAGGACGTTAAACATTGATGGTGTTTTGTTTTAAATCTTTCTGCACTTTTGCTTAAATGCTATTTAAAAAGAAAACAAATTGGAAATGGGGGCGTGCAAGGACTGTTTGAATGAAGCCGAATCAGGTCTGTTTAATTTTTTTCAGCTGGAGTTGGAGAGTGATTGTGCCTTGAGGATGGATGCATTGATGGAGCAGTGGTGGAGGTGAGGCAGTGGGAGGCAGGAGGTCATGTGATCCAACCAGAGTTTGGCAACCTTACGCCCTCAGCTGAGGAAGGAAGCCAGAACAGAAATAAAATGCTTCCTGTTCAAACATCTGATGAGGATGACACACAGGAGGGCAAACTGAGTGTAGTGTCCCTCCTTAGTAGCCACAAGTCCACACCAGTCCTGAATTACTCCAGTTGAAGGCTGCAATGGCACAAGCTGGCTTGGTTTCCACATTCCAATACGCCTTACGATGCTTATGCATTTTATATATCAAGCCTGGGTTATCTTCTTTGTGTTGGTTTTAAATTGTGCTGATGAAGCCAAAAAAAGGCTCCTTGACCCACGCTTATACTCCAAATTTTGAATCACTGTGTCCTGCCATGCTTTCCTCAGTAAGTCATTCTTTTTAAATCAGAAGTCCGTTAGTGGTCGTGTGTCTGTGTTTTGTCAGAGTTTTGAGATA